AGTATTGGTGAACAATAATAGGGGCTAATATTTGTATTTTACATTTATTATTTGTATCTTGCATTTGATAGTCGTATGTATGTACATGCGCATATATATATATATTAGTTTTCTTTGAAATTTCCACACAGGACTTCATTATATATATATATATATTAATAAGTATTAAAATAGTTTACAGAAAAGCAATAATTTCACTAAGATACAGACCCCTCAGCCACAAATATTGCATCTCCAAGCAAGTCGTGATACACTTGGGTAAAAGAAGTATCTTTTATAAAATTCTCAAATTTCGCTTAAATTAAAACAAATTTTAATTAATATTAAAAAATTATTCATGTTAACACTTGACTTAGGATACTCACTTTTTAAAACATATTCTATTGTTTGTGGATCATTTGAGATAATATTTCGCCCACGTTTAGGAATTGTAATTGTGCTATTTTTATGTAAATAATAATAGTAAATTTAGAAATGAATATGTTTTTTTTATCAATAAACATTTTTTTTAAAAAAAATTGATAAATACTAAAGTGAACCATATTTATTTGCCAATTCTTGTTCTAATTCAAGATAAGTATTTTTTTTAAACGTAACTGTAAATAAATTTCCAAATATAGGAACACCCTTAGGTCCAGGGATGTCTTTCCTAGTGGTTACTCCTATACCATCCGGATACTTTATTGCAAGGTGAATAATATAGCCTATGAATGAAACTAAAAATAAAATAAAGATATCGAATATTGTTACATTTAATAATTTTTGGAAAAGTTGAATCGTTGCCGACATGACTAAGTGGTATTATTAAGGGTTAGAGTCAAGATTAGGATTAGATTTTTAGTTATTATTTTTTAATCTAAAAGGATTCTAAATCAATTTTAGTTCCTCTCTCATAAAATTAATCAAGTGTTTCAGAATTTTGGTTATAATGCTTCTCCGAATACCCTTATTTATATACAACTCAAAAAATAGATTACTATGATTTTCATGACAATTTATTTTTAGAGTTGTAGATTGTCTTTTGACAACACTCATATACACTCTACTATCATTATAGCGACCAGGATTTCTTACTATAAGAATTGATTTGTCGATCAATTTTTATCAGTATAAAAAAAAGTCGATCCGTGTTTTATATTCGTGCTTTGTCCATAAATGTTGCATATTCACGGAATTTATAACCTTAAATCATGGAGATTATTCGGCTTGTCTAGATTTTGTCAATCATGTTGCAGATTCACGAGTTTTCACAAAACATATGGAGAAATAATGGAAATATGCGAAGAAAATTTTTTATATGGTAGATTGGGTAATAGTAGATCAGTATTGTATAGGCGAGCAGAGTAGTATAGTATACGTAGGCTGAAATTAAACAATCTAAACCACACTGATCAGCAATAATTACTAACCCTAACGTATAGTATAAATTCCAAAATTCAGCCTATACTATACCGATCTGCTCACCTATACTATTACACAAAACCAGGAACGGAAATCTAAAAAAAAAACAGTTGTATTATCGAAATATTATCACACATAACGTTAAATCATTCGATTTGAAGTTTTGTATTATTTCGGGAAGTAGTACAGATTTATAAGTCTATCATTAAGATACACTAATTTTCAGAATTTAAAACAGATAACGGATTAGTACAAGTCACTATTGTACTCAGTAAGTTACCGATAGGCTTAAACTCAACATAGTTTTAATAATGCTTTTCAAATTACTGATTTCATGTGTCACATACACGCGAGAATCTAGGAACCTGAGAATGTAAATATAAAAATTCTAAAAAAATGAAAAGAATTTTTTCCAAATTATCGCGCTTTTCACACGAAAATCTCAAAACTTTCTAAATTTGCAAAAATTTTTTTGCAAGTAAATCTAAATTCTTGCTTATAAACAAAATTTTCTTTTCATGATCTTGCAACTAGTAGTACACAGGAATTGATTATTATTATAGCTAAATAGCGATGGAATCTTAGACTTGTTTTCGAATCAAAATAAATTAAACTTGAATAACGTTAGATTGCTTTTTTACTACATAAAAAAAAAATCAGATAAAAACACCACTGAAATTACTACACTCTACCCTCGTTATAACAGCCTTGTAGATTTATTAATATATATGTTATCTCTTCGTCTGTAGACTATGTGCAGGCAAATTTGCCTGCAAAAAGTTATATAATATTTTTTAAAAATAAATTT